GTTAGGAGTGCGTGAAGTGTACAAGAGTGAATAAATCATACAAGCATACAAGACATAATTTAAATATTTAGCACACAATACAAACCCCAAATATTATTTGCAAGAATTAAATAGAAATAATTAAAAAAAAGCAATTAATTAAAAAAAAGGAGGGTTCAAAAATAGCCTGTTTTAGTATAATTGGAGGTGTGGATAAGAAGGAGAATCATGTTGTGTGGGCTTGAGAGGTCGGGTAGAGGCATGGGAGAATCTACCTCTATGAAAAGATGGGTGCACGGATTTATGTTTTCATGACTAGTTTGATTGATAATGACTATGGCATGTATGAGTTGATGATGACATGTTTAGGTTCTTATAGCATGGCTTGATGTTGTTTCTTGTACTATGCTTGCACATGAACTGGACCATGTTATGAATGTGAACATTTGAGGTAGAACTAGGACTGCAATGTTTAAACTAGGAAATTGTGTTGAAGAAAGGCATGAGGTAAGAACAATGATGCATATATGTACTGCTGAACTGATATGTATATTTTTCTTGAGTATTTATAACCAATTGAATCTCACTAGAAACGTGTAATTTCAGTTTCTGCAATGCAAGATCTTAACATATTTTTATTTTCAGATTTATGATCTTGAACTTCGATTGTGTTCTGTATAGTTGCTGAAGTTGGTTGTAGTTCTGTATCATGGACGGATTTATGGTATAAGAATAATAAGTTGGTCATACGAAATAACGTCTGTTCTTTCTAGGATTTTTTAATTTAGGGTTGTTATTGTTTAGCCAATGTTGATGATTGCTAAGTGATGATAGGAATCTCTTCTTTTATTTGCTCATATTTTTTCATAGAATGCCTGCTAGTGTTCTTTGCCTGATCTTGTGTTGTTTAAGCTCGAATAGATCAGTATTCAATCCTCTTTCACCTTCAACATTCAGGAACTGTCGTTTCCTTCATTCATCAGGTTAAAGAAGATTGAATAGGGGCAGTTGTTGCACCCCAAAATTTGCCCTCATTCATCCGCATATTTTTTAATGAAGCAATAGACATTTATTTCGTCTCACAAAGCTTTCGAAGCTGTCGTGTCAGTTTGATCAGAAAACAGATAAAAATCAGAGATTCAAGGCAATATCGCTTTTATTCAGAGAACGTGGATAACTGACGACAAATTATGGTGCACATCGAGAAAAATAGCCTGAGATGAATTTTCGGTTGAAATCAAATATTTTTGCGAATTACTGGAATTATGCGATGCACAATCAAAATTTCTACTCATCACGAAAAATAAATAATAATAAAATGTTCATAATTTATTTTTATGACTTTTTACTATTAATTCGAAAAATAGTGAAAAAAAAATATTAATAATAAAAGTTCGCAATTTATTTTTTGCGATTTTTATTATTAATCGGTCCGATTATAAAAATCAACGAGAAAAAGAAATGAAAAAAAATAAGAAAGAAATAAATAAAAGAGAAAACAAAAAGAAAATAAAAAATTTATTTTCCATCCGGAAATTTTCTCTCCGTTCCAAACTACCGGGATTTTCTACCGGTAACCGAATTTCTTCCCCATTTCCGTTCAACCAAACAAAATTCCTTACACTATATAAATGAATTTTCTTCCCAATTTTCATAACTTTTCATTTTTGACAAAAAAAACAAAATTTCCAAGTTATTTCCCCTCTTTCTCTGAAAATTCAAAACAAAAACAATATAACAGAAAAAAAAAAAAAAATTTCCCTTTCTTCTTTCTCTCTTTCTCTCTCCTTCTTGCTTTCCCGCGGCCGTCTCACCACCTCCCGACCACCTCTCTTTCTTCCGGCGAACAGCCTCCGCCTTCTCCCTCTCTCACTTCTCACCGCGAATTCCTCCGACACAACTCACCTCCGTCAAACACACGAAGACCACCGGGAATTTCTTCCCTTCCGTCGCCGGTCCTCTTCCATTTCCGCTCACTACCACCGAAGCCACTCCCGCTACACCAACAGCACCATAACTTCGGGCTTCACGTTTCCGAAAGGTTAGTACAACATCCCCTTTTTCTTAGCATAACGGTCCGCAAGATTGGTATCAAAGATTTATCTTGCGATAGTGTGTTTATGCTAGTGAATTCGTGATAATTGTTATGGAAATAGCTTGATGATTGTGTGTTGTTTAGATTTCTTGTGAGTTGAAAATGTCATGACTATTGTATTAAGAAATTTATTGAGAGTTTAAATCTGTTTCGGGTTTCCAGTGTGAGTCGAAACGGCAATTGGACTGTGATGAATTCCGATTGAAGTGTTGATATTGACACCATATTATGATAGTTCCATTACATTTGATTGATGCCATGTCGTATTGATAATTTTGATTGAATTTTCGATGCCGATAACATGTTTGTGGTGTTAATATGCTTTAGTCATTGATATCGGTGCTTTTCCATATGTGCTGCACATTTTTTGAGATGATTTTGTCGAGCATTATGGTGGTTACGAGTGGCTGTCCGAGTTTGTGTACGAGAGCATGTTGTAATGTCGAATTTTTGAACTTTTGAATCGAATCCATGAGTTGATTAGTTTCTTTGTGTTATTAGGAATTAGCACTTTTTGGCTTGAGTTTTTTAATCGGCAATGCACCGATAAATTGGAAGAAATATGACTTGAATTGAAAAGCACCTTTGAATATTAATTTGTTGTGCGAAAATCGATTCCGGTGCGCTTTGGTTCAAGTGTGTGTGGCTGCCCGATTTAATGGTGCATTCTCTTTGATGATTTCTTTTTAGATAATTCGTCGCCTTGCTTGTAAATACTTGTGCACATTGTTTCCATTTGATCCGGACCATTTTTGTGCGTTTTCGTGAAATAATACGTGGCTGCCCGGATTTGACTCGTTTGAGTGTAGTTTACTTTGATTTCAAGTCTCTATGTTTGCGATGAAAATTGAACAATAGCATAAGTTTTTGAGCTTAAATTTGATTGTTATTCATGGCTGCCCGAGTTTTGACATGTATATGTAGAACTTGTTTTTCATATTCTTGAGGTTGATTTAAATGATAACATGATTTTTGAGCCTTATTTGTCATTAGTTTGTGGCTGCCCGGTTTCGTTCTAATTGATTAAAGTTTGATTTGAGTTCATCTTTTCATGATATGTCAATAACAAGAATTTTCACTTCTAATTCCATCTGTGGACCGACCCTTTTGTGATGTTCATGTCTATTAGACTAATTGTATGCTTTTGCATTTCGTTTGTATTTGATCCGAACCGACTTTATATGCATTTTTACATGGTAATACGTGGCTGTTCGGTCTAGGTTCTGTTAACAGGTTAAAAAGGATAGAAGTTGTTTCTATTAGCAACTTAGCAATGATGTTAGGTAAACTAGCAGTCTAGTATACCAAACATCACCAAACAAGTATTGTGAACCTAGCTTGGACACAGCAACACCTAACTGCTATTTAATTAGTGTTGAGATTGAAACTTGTTATTCTCATTTTCCCCCAAATTTTTGGTTGATTTGCATGTACCCATAGATGATAGAACTCGAAAATTTGAGTTGGGTCATGCTTGAATGTTGTTTAATTGATGAATGTGATGAAACTTGACCAGGGATATTGGTAGACCAGAACAAAATGGTTACTTGCACTGAGCACTTGGAAAATTTGCAAAACTGGACATTAGACCAAAGAATTAAAATTCGTCTAGAAGATACCGGTTTTCCACGTTTAAGCGAACTTGCAAAATGTCAACATGATAGCCAGCTTCTGAAATGTGTGGTATCCCATTTCAATACAGAGACATGTGGATTTGAATTTGGTGGTATAAAATTAGTTTTTGGCTTGAAAGATGTTCTCGAAATTACAGGCTTGCACATTACAGGCCAGTCTGTCACTGGGACCGCTGGTGACATGACTTATTGGTCCAACCAATGTTTTGGACAAGATTTGACCTTTAAAAAACAAAGGGCAATTCGAGGAGCCATTAAGCTATCTGTTCTTAGAGAAAAATTTATGGAAGTTCCACCAAGAGCAACTGAAGTTGAACTAGATCGACATACTAGAGCATATGCTCTTTATGTTCTAGGTTCGTCCTTATTCAGTAGTTCTTCTAAGGGGATGTTGATACTCTCCATCTTCCATTGCTTTATCATGTTGAAAAAATAAAAGATTATGCCTGGGGTGCTGCTGCTCTTGCACACCTATATTGTTCTATGAAAAAAATTAAAGAGGGTAAAAAGCATTTGCACGGGATTGCATTGTCCCTGCAGGTAAGTTATTTTATATTTCCATTCTCCAATTAAAAAAGTATTTCCTTTTAACAATTGAGAAATTAAGTGTCACTTCTTTTTGTTGTGATTTGATAGATCTTTGTATTCCTACATCTGACAAAGATCAAGGACTTACTCATGTTATCGAGTTTGGATTTCGTAAATGAACAACTTCCGTTGATCAATGATTGGTCGCGTCATTTAGAACAATTTACCTTGAACAAATGTAAAAAGGTAGATTATTTGGATTTAATTAGCACAACGACTGCTAAAGAGGTAAGTCTTGTAATTTAACAACACCAATATTTTTATTCGAAGTTTTTGCTTTAATCAATTTAGGAATTGGAAATTGTGTTGCATTTGTAGGTTAACTACAATCCATATGATAATATTCAATTCCCCGACCTGAAAGAATATTCAACTTTCGAGTTGGAAAGAAGGGTATGTTGTAAATCAACCATACAACCAACCTTTCTCATCAACTTTAATGAGGTTGCATTTTTTCAACCCCATAAATTTAAAAAACAATATTCTAATGCACGTGCCGGGGATAGAAAATGCACATACAAATGGAAATTGTACCCAAGAAGAGGTACAAAAGGGAAAAATTGGCAAGAGACGAAAAAGCATACAAAATATCTCAAGCATTGGAGCATAAGTTGTTTTAGTAAAAGACCACAACCTGGTATGTTTCTAATTCTACAGTCTTAAAAATAAAAATAGTTTCTGTATTTGCACACGTCTTTATATGAAACTAAGACTTACTTCAGTTTAACTACTTTGTGTTGATACAAATTACTTAAAACAAATTTTTTCAGAGGAACAACAACCCGAAAGAGTACAAGATGTTCGAACAGAAGAGCCAATTGAGGTGGAACACCATAATTTGGATGATGGTATAATTCTTTTCTCTACACCAGTGGGAGTTTTCCTTATTATTATCGTTTTGTATTATGTTTGTCAAAATATAAAAATTAATTATTAGCAGGACAAAAACCTCAATATCGTTGACAGCTGTCTAAGCTAGATTAGCTAAGTCTACTAAGCTAGGATTATACAACTAACTTAGACTAATCTTATTACATTATCTAATAAGTTTATACTACATTGTGCTTACACCCATCATATGGCATTCTCGAATAAGTTTGTTAAGAACGTGTGGTTGGGCCTAACTCAACCCTACAAAACCGGCTTGTAGGGTGAGGATTGCCCCCACTTATAAACACATGTTCATGCCATATATTGTCCGATGTGGGACTCTTAACAAAGTTTATACTACATTTTGCTTACACCCATCATATGGCAGTCGTGGACAATCAAGAAAAGCATTGTGGAAGGAAAAGAAAAAGCATATGGAGTTCAAAAGAAAATGAAGTTGCTCATGAGGAGGGTATAATTCTTTCCCTTACCTCACTAATCCTTTTTTTATTATCATAATATTTAATATTTAATCACCCTTTTCTTTCTTTTTTTTATCTTTAAAACGATGCGTTTCATGACTATTATGTCACCAACATGAGTGGTTGTATTGAAGATGCATGAGATAACAATGAAGATGGGGGAAGAAACAAAGACCAAGGAGACACTAGGCAAGTGGAAGCAACATGTACCCGTTTGTCTGTTTCTAGAGTGTATATACGCCGCCGCAAAGGGAGTAACACGGGAAAAATGAAAACCAGTGAAGATGTGACGGTTGGCATTAAGCACTCCCTATATCTGCTGAAAGAACTACTTCCATGTTTAAAACAGTTGAGTCACGAAGAAATGATTGAGAAAGAGATAGAGGCTAGCAGACAAAGTATGTTTTCCTTTAAGAATTTCAGTTTAGTTTTTTCATGTATGGATCTATGTTGTTTCATGAATAAATTTGTCAACAACCACCTAAAACCACCTAATAAATGGCTTGTGCACGGCCACCTACCTTGTGCTGAAATTCAATCAAATTTTATTAGAAGTATGGGGGCGACAAGTATCAAACTCTAGACTACTTAGTCATAGAGGCTCTGGTACCATGTCTATAACCACCTGTCCCCAAAGCTTAGGCTGTCAGGTGAAGGCAAGTTAAAATGATGCTGATATTGAGCTAAATTTGATCAGGGTATGTGTTCCAGTAGAATTGTCTGTTTTATAAACTTTGACTTTTGAACCCTATGACTGTTGGCCTTTGGATTACTTACCTATTTGATATCCTGCTTTTTACTATTTTTATTGTATGTTTTGTTGGATTATAGGTCCAGTTTGCCTCTCATCTTATGCCCTAGTTAATACTAATTTCTAATAATTATTAATTTCATCCCATATATGTTCAGTTTTTAATTTGCTTTTGGGATGTTCGTTACAGGGCTCTTAGTCTCACAGCTATGTATAGCAGAGCTAGATGACTCGGGCGGAGACCGGGTGTTCTGGTGGGGAATTATTCAATCTATTGTTCTCTTGTAGTTATCCTCATGTTTTATAGCTGTTTACTTAACCCTTTTTTTTTGTAGTGACAAATGCAAGACGTCAATATTTGCCCTCCACAAACATTGTCAGACATGCAATAGTGACTTTTGTCTCGCCTGTTGTCGTGACTTTTGTGATGCGCAGCTTCGAGGTGGTGCTGATCCAATTGAGTCACGTGTTACTGCCAAACATGGGGTTCACAAACGGCCAAGATCTGATAAGCATGAGGATAGTGATGACAGAGTTTGCTGTGATGGGTTTCTTGAACTGAGAAGCTTCTATCCTCCAAGTCACATTGCTGATTTGGTAGATGAAGCAAAAAAATTTGTAGACAAATACATGCATCGCATGCCTGTGATTTCAGACAAAACTCATAAGAACTTGCATTCAAGTTTGAATCGTAAGGCAGCATCTCGTAAAGAGTCAAGCGATAACGATATATATTGTCCGGAGGCTAAAAATACATGTCCTGAGGATTTACTACATTTTCAATGGCACTGGAGAAAAGGGGAGCCAGTAATTGTCAGGGAACTGCTTGGAGGTACTTATAATTCATTATGGAATCCATCAAGCATGAGCCGTGCAATCTGTCAGAAGCACAAGACTGTGAAGGTTGATAGCCATTTCATCGTGGAGACTGTCACCTACCTTCGTAACAGCCTCCTATTGTACTTAGATTGTTCAAATCATGTCTCTGATCCTACTTTTCTTATATTATTGGATTGCTCTTTGGCAGGTGTTGAAACCAGCGTGATAACAGTGGTTTATCTCTTCTAAGTAAACGCCCGTGAATCCCACAAGGAGTAAATCTCCGGAAGTGGATTTCACATCGAGTCACTTATCTTTTCTAGATGAGTCTCTTGGTGACAGATTAATATTAACAATTTCAAGAATTATTTTTGGAATTTCACTTAATAAACGTGATTGTTCTGAAGGAGATTCCAGCTTCATTTTTCGGTCCATATATTCAGCAACTATATGAAAATATGGTTAGGGCACCACCATTTCATGACATTTTTGTTAAATGTGATGTCGTATTATAAGCTAAAAGCCAAAATGTTCTAAATTCTTTCCTAATTTAATTCTGACAATTTGTGCCTTAACCATATTTTCATACACTTGCTCAGTACATGAATAGATTATTTCTCTCATTATGAGAAAAACTTATCTCCCTATAACTTATTTCTCTCATTATGATTATCTTCTTGATATGCGGAGAGGACCCAATAAATGGGTAAAATTTCTAGTGGACCCTTTTGATAACACGTGCAAGCTTTGTTTTAAAGGAAAAAGTTAAAAGGTAATGATGATAAATTGTGATTTTAGGGTGTGATTATTGGTTAAAGACATATTGGAGATTAAAAGATATGATGATACACTATATCATGTCTTTTTACTACATATAGTTTCGCCACCTTCGGTATGGTACATATTTGTCGATGACGATATTGAAGCATCGCTTACCATTGATTTGTTGGATGACGATGATCCTTGGATCATAACCACTGACTTTACCCCTAGTGAGACCATCAGTCGATGCAGGTTTTATAGAATTTCAATTTCGCGTCGTTACTGTGCCTTAACCATTTTTTCATACACTTGCTCAGTACATGGATAGATTATTTCTCTCATTATGAGAACTTATCTACCTATAACTAATTTCTCTCATTATGATTATCTTCTTGATAACAAATTTTCCAAATAATCACGTTCGACATTCCGCATCTTGCTTCTTTCTAATTAAATAGTGCGAAACAAACTCAGCTTCCATGAATTATTAAAAATTATATCAACATCCAAAATACGATAGATCTTTGTCTTCATATGAAACTATTGAACTGATAGGTAGGGGGTAACACCTATTGTGATAAGTAGGGGGTAACACCTACTTATCACAGTAGGTGTTACTCCCTACTGTGATAAGTAGGGGTAACACCTACTGTGATAAGTAGGGGGTAACACCTACTGTGATAAGTAGGGGGTAACACCTACTAACATAAGATAGTTCTAATTCAAAAGTGATCCATGTTGAGTTGTTCAAGAATTTTCACTCAAGGACTTGGGGAAACTTGACTACTTTCTTGGTATTGAAGTGCATCACTCTGACTCTGGATCTCTCCTCCTCTCTCAAACTAAAAATACATAAGGGACTTATTAACAAAGGCTACATCATCTGACAAGTAAACGCCCGTGAATCCCACAAGGAGTAAATCTCCGGAAGTGGATTTCACATCGAGTCACTTATCTTTTCTAGATGAGTCTCTTGGTGACAGATTAATATTAACAATTTCAAGAATTATTTTTGGAATTTCACTTAATAAACGTGATTGTTCTGAAGGAGATTCCAACTTCATTTTTCGGTCCATATATTCAGCAACTATATGAAAATATGGTTAGGGCACCACCATTTCATGACATTTTTGTTAAATGTGATGTCGTATTAGAAGCTAAAAGCCAAAATGTTCTAAATTCTTTCCTAATTTAATTCTGACAATTTGTGCCTTAACCATATTTTCATACACTTGCTCAGTACATGAATAGATTATTTCTCTCATTATGAGAAAAACTTATCTCCCTATAACTTATTTCTCTCATTATGATTATCTTCTTGATATGCGGAGAGGACCCAATAAATGGGTAAAATTTCTAGTGGACCCTTTTGATAACACGTGCAAGCTTTGTTTTAAAGGAAAAAGTTAAAAGGTAATGATGATAAATTGTGATTTTAGGGTGTGATTATTGGTTAAAGACATATTGGAGATTAAAAGATATGATGATACACTATATCATGTCTTTTTACTACATATAGTTTCGCCACCTTCGGTATAGTCTCATACCTGCACAACCTTTAGATCCCTCATTCCAATGTGAATTCAATTTTTTCCTAGAAGTTGCTATGAGTTTCTCATTGTCATGCCTCGTGCACCGACAACCATTCCCCCGCCATCGGGTGTTACGTGTAACCCCTCTCCACCCTTTTCAGCCTCAGATGTTACAGTGGGGTTTATAGCATAAGGGACTTATTAACAAAGGCTACATCATCTGACAAGTAAACGCCCGTGAATCCCACAAGGAGTAAATCTCCGGAAGTGGATTTCACATCGAGTCACTTATCTTTTCTAGATGAGTCTCTTGGTGACAGATTAATATTAACAATTTCAAGAATTATTTTTGGAATTTCACTTAATAAACGTGATTGTTCTGAAGGAGATTCCAGCTTCATTTTTCGGTCCATATATTCAGCAACTATATGAAAATATGGTTAGGGCACCACCATTTCATGACATTTTTGTTAAATGTGATGTCGTATTAGAAGCTAAAAGCCAAAATGTTCTAAATTCTTTCCTAATTTAATTCTGACAATTTGTGCCTTAACCATATTTTCATACACTTGCTCAGTACATGAATAGATTATTTCTCTCATTATGAGAAAAACTTATCTCCCTATAACTTATTTCTCTCATTATGATTATCTTCTTGATATGCGGAGAGGACCCAATAAATGGGTAAAATTTCTAGTGGACCCTTTTGATAACACGTGCAAGCTTTGTTTTAAAGGAAAAAGTTAAAAGGTAATGATGATAAATTGTGATTTTAGGGTGTGATTATTGGTTAAAGACATATTGGAGATTAAAAGATATGATGATACACTATATCATGTCTTTTTACTACATATAGTTTCGCCACCTTCGGTATGGTACATATTTGTCGATGACGATATTGAAGCATCGCTTACCATTGATTTGTTGGATGACGATGATCCTTGGATCATAACCACTGACTTTACCCCTAGTGAGACCATCAGTCGATGCAGGTTTTATAGAATTTCAATTTCGCGTCGTTACTGTCTTGTGCTTCTGACAGATTGTTTCTCTCATTATGAGAAAAACTTATCTCCCTATAACTTATTTCTCTCATTATGATTATCTTCTTGATATGCGGAGAGGACCCAATAAATGGGTAAAATTTCTAGTGGACCCTTTTGATAACACGTGCAAGCTTTGTTTTAAAGGAAAAAGTTAAAAGGTAATGATGATAAATTGTGATTTTAGGGAGAGACCCATCGTTCAGGTGTCAAGCCATTTCGTACTATATTTTCT